CGTATTAGGCTGGAAAATGAGCCAACACTTCAAACAGCTGAGTTAAACTATACCCAGCAGGCTGAAGCTGCACAGAATGGTTCCCTCCCTTCTCAGTTTATACCCAAAGACTTCTGCTCTGAAGTGAGCCAGTTTTGCTCTCACTCTGGCGGACATTGTGTTGAAGGTTCAGCCTCCCATGTGGAGTGAGTAACGCTGGCTGTGGGCTGGCCCACTGAGCTCAGCACCAGCTCCCAGCCCCCTCCTTCCCCTCCCCCTCCCGCCCTTTCTGGGTTATTCTTAGCAAGGGTGACCTCAGAGTGCTCCCACTGAGCAAAAATAACCCTGGAGGAAGTTGGTGGGTATAAATCTTCAATGAATAAATACATATAGCTGGTAAGCAGGGCATGGAGCCCCAGGGTCTGGTGGGCAAGGGCAGAAACTGTCCCTCCCTCGGGCCCCAGCTTTAAGCAGTACCAAGGACAAAGGTGGCTGCAGGGCTGTCTGGGATTGTGACCAGGCAGGAACCAGCTTCGGATACCCTCACATGTCACACAGCGGTGTCCTCCGGAGCTGGCGAACAGGAAGATGCCTCTTCCTCCCACCCCATGCTCACACCCACACAGGCTCACACTCTCAAGCCAGCAGAGACCAGCCCAGCATGCCACTGTCTCTCCTCCCCATCATGGGCACTGGCCAGTCCCCAGGCCCTGAGCCCAGGTGCCAGCTCCCTTCTGAAGCCCCGCCTAGCCCTGCGGCTGCCTTCCTGTTTCCTGTTGCCAGCAAGCATCCTGGCTCTGAGGTCAGGGCTGCAGACCAGCACCGCTGCCTGGCTTAATGGGCCCACCTCTCACTCCCCGGACCGTCACAGCCTTTGCCACTTAGCCATAGGCTCCCTGGTATTTGGATCAATTGCCCTCCTCAGTTATATTTCTCTGCATGGTTTTTTGGACCAGGTCTATGCTTTGATTTTCAAACAGCCTTGCATTCATGTATTAACTTAAAGGCAATTTTGGACACCCAGTCTTCCAGATGGGGTGGCTGGAGTGCTGAACAGGAATGAGCACTGTGGGCTTTGATTCTGCAGGTGTGGAGTCCAAGTTCTGATTATCCTCTCTGAACCTCAGTCTCCACATTGGAATGTGGGTATGGTAATGACAGCAGGCCCCCTCCTTCCTCCCCAAGGTTTGTTGTCAGCATCATATGAGGCAGATCATCCCTGTAGAAGGTCTTTGCAGGCAATAAAGTGCTGCATGACTCTGAGCCTTATTCATGGACTCTGTCCTCACTGAGGTGGGTAGACAGTGCAATGTGGGGTGGCACTAAACCTCAAATCTAGTGGAAGAAACAACCTCTCTCACCTGCTTTTCCAACTAGCAGGGGTGAAAGGCCAAGTTTTTGTTTGTTTGTTTACATTCCCAATCCATCAAGAAATGATACTTTTGGAAAATACAAAATCATGCACATGATGGGTGACAGTATCAAATCGATATAAAAGTTTCTAAATACTTATTCTCAAGTTCTCTACAGACAGGTAACAAACAGACCATGTTTTACAGATTCAGGTCTGCAGACAACAGCCATCCAAGCATGTGATGGGTAGGCTTATATCTTGTCCTTTATTTCTGATAATTCATTTTGATTAATTTTATGAATGGTTCCAAAGGAAGAGTCAGTGTGGGTCACAGTGCCTGAACTTCACTTGCAAGCGAGGCTCTGATGGGCAGTGACACTGGGGCAGACAGAGAGAAGGGAAGAAGGCAGACAGCATGCAAGGTGGGAACAGGTGCTTAGTGTGTTTGGGGAGCAGCAAGAAGCCAGGTTTCCGTGGCAAAGAGGTGGATATTGAGCACCAGTTCAGAGGCAGGAGAGATCACATGGCAAGAAGCCAGACGAAGTGTTCCAGATCTTGTCCCATAAGAAATGGAGTCCCTGGAGATTCTCGAACAGAGCTGTGCCACAGAGTGTACCTAACGACAGGTGGCCTCCTCTCCGGCACACTAGGTTGAAAGATGAGTCTTAATTATCTACTTAAGCCCAGCAGGGGCTCAGTAGGGTTTGTGTTTGTCACTGAGGGGAGGCAGACTGGAAGGGCCGGGAGGTTAGAGAGCATACTGGAGGCTGGTGGGGCCTGGTCTGGGTGAGGGTGAAGCTGGAATGAGTGGAAGGTACCCAGGGACAGTCAGGCCTTGGGGGCAAAGGGAGGAGAGAGACAACCATATCTTAGCCTTGGGGTGGGGGGCTGGGGAGGACATGAGTGGACAGACTGTTCCACCCTGCCCAGGGATGGATCCGCATGGAGACACAGGCCTGCAGCCAGGTTTCCTCTCTTGCTTCTCGACACTTCTCCATGAGTTCCACCTGCCGGGATCTGAGCCCATCTCCCTCACCTTTCCAGGCTTAGCTGGATGACACACACTCAGCTGCTTTAAAGTTCCCTGGTCACCCTCTTCCCAGAACCACAGCTGCACCATGTCCCCAAGAAGCCCTCCCTGCTGTGCTCCCCTGCTGGGGAGGGGAGGAGGTCAGGACAAGCACCTGCTCCCCAGGTGACCCAGGTGGCCTGTGGACCAGGGGACCAGGGCTGAGCTGCCGGGCTACAGCACACATCTCCCCCATGTGGGCTCCCTGCCCAGCAAGGCCTGTGGGCTCTCTCCTCTGGGGTCAGTCTTTCTCTGTTCCCCCCAATGTGAAAGGGGTTTTTCTCACAACAGGTGCCTCAGCCCCCTGCCTCCACTGGGAGCAATACCTTCCCTAGGCATTTCTCTTCTAGCCTGGCGAGTCTCTTGAGAGACCCAGTGGCTGCAGATGTCACCTAGAACATGGGCTGGGCCGCATCCAGAGTGTGACCTGCACAGGATGCACGTCACCTCCCACCACGGCTGCTGAAGGCCTTTGCTAGACTCCTACTCAAACGGCCTTGTAGGCACTGGCCCTACTGGGCCCTGTAGGGGCAGGTTTATTACACTACCAGCTTTGCACATTAGGACTCCACTTTGCTGTCTGCAAAGCAGCCTTGGAGGTTGACAGGGCAGGTATTATTGGTAGCCGTATTTTACCAATGAGGAAGCAGTTGAGAGAGGTTCAGTAACTTGCTCAAGGTCACACAGCCAGAAAGCAGTAAATCAGTTTTGTTTGTTCTGTCAAACTGAGGTTGCTGTGGTCTCCTCAAAAGGAAAAGTTTGGCCAGACAAGGGCAGGACCAACCTTGCTGAGCACTGGCTCTTTGGTGGTTGAACCCACTTACTTCTCACAGGGGTCTAGATGGAATGTATCCTATCAGCTCTGTTTTTCAGAAGGGGATCCCGAGGTTCAGGCAGTCATGTGCTCAAGGTCACCCAGTGGCAGAGCTGAGATTTAAACCCAGGTCTGTTGGATTCTAAAGGCAGTGCTTTTCCTCCTACACTGGGCCCTGTTGCACGCTGGGGGAGGCCTATGACCCACTGGCCTTTTACCCACAGGGCTGCGCCCCTCTTCCCACTTATTTGTCTGTCTCCGGCCACATTTCCATACACTTGCCCCTGATTTCCTTGCACTTTCCGTCCTGGGGCCTCATCCCGCCTCTCAGTGATGTGCCCTTCCTCTGGCTGGGGCCTCACAGGGATGAGTCAAGGAACTGCCAGGTCTTTATTTGCTATAGGTGGTGGCTCTTGTCCCCGGCACCTGGATGGGGAAAGGCAGAGCCTGCTCCGTGAGCATGGGCACACGAGCAGACGTGCAGTTACTGGCAGGCTCTGACTCAGCCCGGCTCCCCCTCCTCTCCAGGGCTGTGCCCTCCACCTTCTGTCCCATAAGGGAAGAGAGTGGAGGGGACCCCAGAGACCTGGGAGTGCGACCTAGAGTCTGCTGCAAACTGGAAATCCCTTTGAAGTCCCCTGTTTTATCTTTTAACTTCATGTGGACTTTTCATTCCAGGCCAAAAAAAAGTATCCATGTTTGTTTAATATTAAAATGTTTAAAATTACTTACCAATTAAATGACTTAGCTCTGGCCTCCATTGCCCTCCAGACCTTCAAGCAGAACTGGCAGTGTTTCGCTTGAGTCCTGCAGATGTCCAAACCTCCTGCTCTAAGACCCCTCACTGCAGCTGATGCAGCCCTTTCTCTGCTGTACCCTCTCCTCTGGCCACCATTCAGGCTCTCTATCCCAAGGGCGAAAATCCTGCCCTGCTGGGAACATTTCCTCGAAGGGCTGAGTTACAAATTCAGATCTCCTGGCTCCCCCTTACCTTCCTGCTCCAGCTTTCCCATTCTCAGCTGGAAGGGGCTAACAGAAAGGAACCAGCTGTCTTTGGTGCTGGCAAATAATTATTGCTTTGCCCGAGTTTAAGGCACAAGGCAGGCAGGCTTCTCTAGCCCACAGGCTTTGCCCTCTGGAACACTCCACATCTTAAACAACCGCAGGGCTTCCCCCAGACTCAGAGGCAGTGGCACCCAGAAGTCTGGAGTGTGGTGGCAAGCCTTGTGGCCCACACTCCTATGGGATTTAAACACCTCCCAGGTCTCCTTCTCTCTTACAAAGGGACACAGCAGCCTGTGTCTCTTCCCTACTTACTTAGCCAGATTTCCAGACATCAGTTCCTCCCTTCAGGTTCTCCAGGCGGGGCTGAAGCCAGCCTGGGTGTGTGGATTGGGAGGGAGGGGCCTGTGCCCGCAGGCTGGGGAGAATCAAGTCTTGCCCTCTCAAAGCCACAGTCTGGCCTGGGCAATCTGTCGGGCTCTCTTGCTGCCCTTCCAGAAGGAAGCTGGGAGTCAGGGGCTTGGTTCAAGTCCTAGCTCTGTCACAACCCACAGCACCAGGCCCCCTGGGGCCTCCAGAGGCCTCCAGTTTGACACAGACAATAGGATGATTGTGAGGGTGGTTGTGGGGTTTGGAGAATGGGCAATGTACAGGAGCTCAGCAGCTGGAGCTGGTCCTATTGCCTGGTCCTAATGCCCCCCAGCTTCCTGCAGGGCACACATCACTGCTGTTTAGAGCATGTGTGCACACACATGTGTTCTGGGGGAGCCCATGACACTCACCAGGGGGTGCTTGCGCTTCCTCCCAGGCCGCCCCACCTTCCGTGCGGTTGTGCTGGGCTCCTGCCGCTCCTCCTTGCCACGAGCCTCCGCCTGCTCCTCTCCCTCCTGCGGGCACAGACACAGCCTGTGAGCCACGGCCGGATCCTCCTCCCCGGTGCCCCCCCCACCCCAAGACAGCCTCACTTCCAGGGCTGTGCGTGTGGTTTTCCTGGCAGGAATGGTCTTTGCCCGCTTCCTGCCTGGCAAAGCTTAAGCCACCCCTTAGAATCCCATTTAAATATATCCTTCAGGGACTTCAGGGCAGACCCAGCTGCCCCAGCAGAATGCACCGATCCCTCCTAGAGGACGTTTCCTGAGCCAAGGAACCATAACATATGCTCTGACAAAGAATTTCTTTCTGGAAAGGCGTTTATTGATACAAAAAAAGATCTTACACAAGTACAAAAATTAAGTTAGTTATATATTTGATGAATCACTTTTATTGAAAAGAATAAAATCACATCAAAAGAAATATTAAATTTAGTGATATATATTGGAAGTACACGCAGCACTTGGAATGAGGACCATCATAGACAACAGAGGACGTTTACAGCTGCAGTAAATATACCCGCCCAGAAGCATTTCCATGTAGCATTGGCATCACATATGCCTGTTGAGTCCTGGACCAGAAGTTTGCTTTTGTTACTCACCTCTCACCCAGCATCTACTAGGGCCCAGCCCTTCGATGCTTGTCTCATGGGGCACAAAGACAGAAACCTAGAAAGTCCTCCTGCCTCACGGAACTCACCTCTCACCCAGCATCTACTAGGGCCCAGCCCTTCGATGCTTGTCTCATGGGGCACAAAGACAGAAACCTAGAAAGTCCTCCTGCCTCACGGCTCCAACCTGGCCACAAACCACCTACAAGTCACTTCTGACTCAGCAGGCTCCAGCATGACTAATCATGAGCACAAACAATCGGGAAGGAGAGAGAAAGGGGACGCTGAGCCAGCAGAAGGCCACGGGCTGTTCTTCATGCCTTGCATGACATGACGAGCCAGAAATGGCTTCACGCTCTCCCTGCGGAGGGCACCAACCCCAACCCAGAGTGGTGCTGGGGCTCCGGGAAAGAAAGGGAAGATGCAGAGGTTCCCTGCAGATTTAATCAAGACGGCCCTCAGCATCCCACTCAACTTTCTTTTTTTGTGATTTCACAGTAGCTTGTGGTTTGCCTGTCTGTGGGCAGGAGGAAGGGGTCCTGGAGGGAGAGAGAGGCTGCCCCAGGGCCCGAGACCCTGGACACAGGCTCTTTTCAGGAAAACCCAGCAGAGAAGCCACGAGGGCAGAAAGGCTGCAGGAGGGACAGCCAGGTGGTGGGGAGGCCTCCACAAGAGCTCATGGGGGGTGTGCGGGTCTGGGTTGGGGAGCCCCCGGGCACACGCTGTGTGGTAGGCTATGCCTGCTGCTTCTGAGCTCTTTTCCCAGACCCCAGAGATACCCCTATTTAAGAAACAATCACTTGGATCACACAGAGAAGGAATATTACCAATGAAGCTTAATAGTTGTGAAGGTTTCAATTGGATCTACACAACTACAGAGGATTTCAGGCTGAGATGGTGTTTGCAGTCTGATGCCACCATGGGTAAATGGGCACCGTCTTGATCCTTCTGACCAGGGAACTCAGCATTCACAAACCAGAGTCAATGCAAGGTCCTGGGAAGGCATGGGGCTTGGAGCAAACCAAAGTGGGTATGAGCCAGTTTGTCATTTTGCTATTTATGGGACCATTTCTCTGAATCTCAGTTTCCTCAACCATAAAATCAGCTACGAAGGTGTCCATTCTCCCTGCTTCGCAGGTTTTTAGGAGGACAAATGAACAAATGGTTTGTTTCCTGGTCTTTTGTGTTCCCGGCCTGAATTTCTAGAACAGGCCCAGGCTTAGTGGGTGTTCTGCATGCCCCCCAGATGAGAGGGCTTACATATTTCCTGGCAGCAGAAGGCCCAGCCAGCCCCCGTACTTGCCTGGAGGGCACTAGGCCCAACCTAGCTGAGCCTCTGACCATTTCTCATGGCCAGACCCCCAGAACTGGAATGCATAGGGCAAAAGGCAATAGGGGGCAACAAGGTGGGCAGCTGGGGCTAGGAAAGACTTCTACCCTCCGGCCCGGACATTCTGGGCTCTGAACTATTTCTTTTAGAAACCTCGTTTCTTACAGAGGGATCAATTTGATGTTCTAACTTTCATTCTGAACTAATTAGAGATGTGAAAGCCAATCAGAGCCTCTGATCAGGAGCTACAGTTACTATGGTGCAATGACCTAAAGTCAGAGACACTTGACATTTCAGGACCAGCAATCCTTAGCTTCCATCAACATGCAGAAAGCCTTTGGTGACCCCCGATAGGCGATGCTGTACCATCCAGAGACTTGCTGTAATTCCTCACCTTAAGCCACATGCTCTGCCTGATGCAAGGACATGCTCAGCACAGCTTCCCCTGTTGCATTCAATCCAGTGTAACCTGTGCCTGGAGGAAGGGGTGGAATGCCCTGATGTCACCTCACCTGTCTGGGTCTTATGTGTCAAGAGTGTGGGGACCATCAGGGAAGGCTACTGTGTTTTCAGCCTGCAATTCAGGCTGAGCGTGGGGCAAGGTGATCAATTCCTGGTCCAGCATTCAGTCCTCAAGCACACCTGAGGAACCCGTGTCTCCACAAGAGCTGGGTGGGGACTCACACCCAGCTCGAGCAGCTCCTGACCCACACCCTTTCCATCAGGCCCTGAAGCATGGCTTGTGAAAAGCATGTTATCTTTGGCCAACATATCATTCTTCCATGATGTATCGATGTCACAGGGCAAACAGGAAGGTGGCGATACCTTCTGCTCCCAGCCTGCCTGAGTTCACGCTGAGGAGTGAGAGGCAGCCCACTGAAGAAGTGCAGCAGATGGCTCCGGCCATGCCCCGCAAGGAGGCCTATCAGGTGGTTCCTTCACACAATTGTTATGGTGTCTGTTTCATTCAACATCTTTGCTGATGGGTTGAGCAAAGGAATTTAAACTATGCTTATCAAATCTGCAAGTAGCGCTGAATTAGGAGGCGCTGCTAAGACTCTCAAAGGGAAGAATCTGACCCACAGTGACTTGCAGCAGCTGGAAAACAGTAACCAATTTAGCAGGAACGGATTTGAGCCCAGGTTGGTTTCCTCATCCATCAAGTAAGGGGACTGAAGTAGCCAATCCTCTCCGTGGGAGGCAGCAGGAGAGGGCAGAGACTCTGGTTAGGTGGGACTTGGAGAGGGTGGAGGCAGCTGGACTTTCTGCTCTGCTTTTTACTCACTAATAACTTATATTCCGTAGTAACATTAGTATAAATTAAATGTCAATTATTTAATCTCTCTGAGTCTTGCTTTCCTCACCTGTAAAATGGGGAGAATAAGAAATATCTACTTCATGCAATACTCTAAAAATTAAATGAGATAATATATCAAAAGCTGACATGTGATAGTTACTCAAGAGTTGTTAACTTCCTCCCCTGCACAACCTGACCAAAACTCCTCACAGAAGTCCACCTTTCCCTCCCCTCCCACCCTCCCCTCCTGCCAGCATGCAAATCCCAGCTCACCCCTGCATATACAGCCATCACTCTCTGCTACAGACAAACCCCAACATCTGGCTGGTCCTGCTGCAGTGAGACACTCAGGAACACTGGGCTCTGTGATCTCTCCAAAATGCAAAGCGGATCATGTCACTCTGCAGAGTTTAGGCCCTTGCTGAGGGGCTCCCAGAGGCCTGCAGGATCAAGCCAAGCTCCTTAGCCCATGTGAAGCAAGACCCCCAGGATCTGGCCAGCCACCTTGGGCTCCTCTCCCTACTGCCTTCCTCCCACTGGCGGCAAGCAGACTGCACCAGGTACAAAAAGAGGCTGCTTTTCTCCTGGCACCTGGGCAAGACCCTTCCTTCTGCCCTGACTACTTTGCCCTCAGGTTGACTAGCAAACTCTCACTTTTCCACCTCACTTCCTGGATCCCCTTCTCCTGAGTGCCCTCCTCCCATCCCCCACCTAAACTGAGTCCATGGGTCCCTCCTCCCCTATAGTGCCTGCTTCCCAGCACTGCAACTGCCAGTTATTGTCCTGGGCAGGCCACGAGCAATTTGAGGGAAGGACTGTATCTTACTCACTTTAGCATTCCCAATGTTTAGACCAATGCAGCTGGCAGAAGGCAGGCACTCGAAAATACTTGATGAGTGACTGTCACACAGTAGGTGCTCAATAAAGGAGTCCATGCTACAGGGAGGAGGCACATTTAAATGTACACACCTGCATGAAGACAGCCATGCATGAGGCTCCTGTGCTGCTCTGATCTTTGTGACTCCAGCTCAGGAAACAGGATAACTAAAATGTACTTTCTAGGCTTAAACACAATCATGTCACTTTACATTTACATAACTCTTTACAGCTTTCAAAGTACCCTCACATTTGGCCTGTTAGATTAGGTAGTTACCAGCTGCCTCTCTGAACTTCTGAGGCTATGCTTTGACCTACATTTTAACACAGCTCACTGGATGGATTATTTTAAGCCACATACGACTTCTCACTCTGATGAGCTGGGCTCTCATGATAATAATCTCTCACATTTGTACAGTACATGGTAATTAAAGCATTTTCACATGTGTTACTTCATTTTATTCTTATGCTTTACAGAGAGCAGAGCCAGTATTATTATTATTTTTTCCCATTACATAGGCGGGAAATCTGAAGCTCAGAGAGGTTATCCAACTTGCAGAGATCAGAGCGGCAGGAAGGGAGGCCTTTAGAACCAAAATTTAAATCATTTGATTCCCAGCTCATGGGTCTTTCCACTGCAACATGCCGCTGGACCCTAGTCTGCCATGTGCTGTGTGTGTATGTGGTGTGTGTGTGTGTGTGTGTGTGTGTGTGTGTGTGTGTGTGTGTGTGTGTGTGTGTGAGCTTCCAGGCAATCCAAGGTAAAGGCACACACCAGCATTCACATGCACACCTCTACACACAGATGTCTCAGGGGTCTCATGTCTAGACACCCGACCCCTCCCCCTAAGAGATATGTATCCCATGAGGCCCTCACCCAGAGACAGCCGACCAGACCTACGTG